CTTTTCTGATTGGTGCTCAGCTGTACACCTGACATCATTTTGGGGTTCTGTGTTCTGTGCATGGCTCCTTTTTTTCAGGAAACATCTCACTCAAACTGTTAACCGTGACCTTTGACACATTCCACCCAGTTGCTCTTCTGGTTTGCCTCAGCCCTGATCTCCTACCTCACTATGATTTCAGATAGTTCACTTTGCTCATTTACAGTCTCTTCTTTCCTCAGATTAAAACATGAACGTCTCCCAAGCCATTAGGAAGTACTCAGTTGTCTTCTCCATGGGCCTCGCATCAGTGCCAATGTCACTAATAAGACTTAGTGTAGTCCTTTTTAGATCTTGAAATAACTTTTATTAAGCCAGTCTTCTCTGCAAGATACTGGCCTAGGCACTTTTCACACAAATGCTGTACTTTTCTGTCCCATAAAGGTGCAACTTGGCAGCAGTCACTGGAAGGTGTTAGATTGTGACAGTGAAATATTGGACAGAGCGAAGTTTTGTGGGGAAGGGCAGTATGAAGGACAGGCCACCATACTTCAGTAGCTCTGGGCCTTCAGCCTGTCCAGCAAGTGTCTTTTCTCAGGTGTGTCCACTAAGGATTAATGGACGATGCTGTTGCATAACACTGTGCTTCTTTCCAAGTCCCGAAGTAAATAACATCTAAAGGAAGTGGGCAGGATTGCCAAGAGAAGTCAGTTGCACGAGTGTTAATTAGAGACCTTTGGGCCAGGAAATAGAGAAGGATAAGTAATATATTTCTCCTTTGCTCACTGCCTCCCTGGAAGCCAGCCTGAAAACTTTTCATTTTGCTTAGCAACATTAGGAAGACGTCTGTGATTAGGCACCATGATGTACCAGAGGGACTTGCTTAAAAATGATACATCATGAATCTATCAGGTAAAAAATACTGGTGGGGAGTAGGCTTTATAAACTATGTGGACATTGGAGCCCTTCTTCCTTGAGATTTGGATTGGACTGGGGAATGGTGGATGGCAGGAAAGAATTGGTTCTCCTAGTATGAATTAGGGGATGCATATCCAACATGGGAGCTTGGAATCCTTGGTTAAAGTTGGATAGAATGCATACAACTTAGAGAACATTGAAGCTCATGGTTGGGCAGACTGGGTGAATATTTATTGCATACATATGGAAGGTGCAGTACTGTATTTATGGAAGGGGGCATATGGATACATTTGGATCAAGGTTCCAAATTGGTCAGCCATGTCCAGATTGGACATGGAACTTTTTTCTTCCTTCCTAGGAAATTGCTTATTTTGGGGGACCTCTTCTGAAGAAACCTAAACTTAATTTATTGTGATCTGTCCTTTTCTCTGATAAAAAAATGTTTAAAAAGAGCAAGAAGAATAATACAATGGATATACCATCAGGGTATACAGACTATAGTACTATAAAAACCAATTCTGCTTGAGATGCTTTTGTGGATTGACAAGAAACAAGTGGTTTTGGATTAAGCCATTGGTATTCATTAGTATTAAGAATCAGTTGAAGAATTGTAAAGAGTTATAAGGAGAGTCAGAAAATATATGATAAGACATAAAAATTGGTATTTTTCTATGTACCCCCAAACCACAAATGTCTGGTATGAAAAAGGAGGGTCTTTGAAATCTATTGGCATTTCCAGAAAATATTCCGTGACTGACTCCTGTTGCAAATGTGCCTTTTAGTGTTGCAGGGTGATAAAATGCCACGATCCAACTCCAGAGCACAATTAAGGGCTTATGCGATACAGCAGGCAGCCGTTCCACACTTGAGAGTTTTCTTGTATAATTAAAATAAACCGAGGGGCAGGAGGCAGAAAGGATGTGGGGAAGAAGGTCCAGCCGAAGCATATTCAGACATGACATTTTCCAGTGTCGATAACCATCAAGAGCTTGGCTTCTGTGTCCATGAAGACGGGAATGTCACATGTCAGTCAAAGGCAGAGCTGCTGAGCAGAGCCTGAGCCTGAAGGAAGCACAGTGGGGTCCATGTGGCTCCTTACCAGCCTCCTTTCAGGCTTTAATTGTACTTTCTTTGTGTCCATATCCAGATTCCTGATGAGTACTGATGAGTTTGGAGAGATGGCAGGGATTTTCAAGCTGGGATTCTAGGCCATGCATAATCCCAGCAGAATAGATAAAAATGACACACCTGAGAAGCAATTTCAGAAAGACATGTATATTTGAGAGCCATTTTAGGCACACTTGGCCCTTATGTGGTACCCATGTGTAATGTACCCGTTCTAATGCGGTCCCATTCCAATGTACGATCCCTCCATGAAGGGTTTGTTGCTGTATTTACATCTGATGGTGAATGTGTCTGACACCCTTTGGCTAAGCAGAAGCTGCCACTGGCTAGCCCCAGGCCTCACTGCCATCACACAGAACTGGAGTTGTTTGGGAAGAACTCAGATGGCTCCCTGCTAGCAAAGAAGAGCTGGCAGGCTCCACCCTGGGAGAAAGTAGTGGCTGTTTTGACACCTCCTGTCACCACCCCTGCACAGGAAAAACTGGGGTGTCTCTGTTCCTAAGAGAGGCTGCCACTTCCGGTTCCTGAATGGTTTTTCAGAAGCACGCTTGTCCTCAAGGAATGGAGGATTTACATCTTTAAAGATCATTAGAAGTTCTTGTGAGTGTCTTCAGATATTCTGTTTCAGTTCTGGAGAAAAATACAGAGGACACTTACGCTTTAGATAGAAAACCTGGGTTTTAATGGAGTAAGGTTGCTTTAGCTGTTTGGTGAGAAATATTTCAAAATAAATCACTTCCGGTTTGTACTGTCCACCACCCATTTCTACAGAGGGAAAAGGTGATGTTCATCCCTATACCTTGGCTTTGCTTTGACATGATCACCTCTCCTTTGCAATTTCTGTAGGCTACCATTCCTCTGTGTGCCTCCCAAGCTCTAGATTTATGGATTGTTAAGACACAGAAGGGACCTTAATAATTGCTGACCTTAATAAAACTTCCTAGTAAGTTTTGTCCTTCCTGCCTACAGAAATCTGTAGCTAGTGCATGATTTGCTAGTGAGTACAGGGTGGCAGATTCTGGGTTCACTGGAAACTAAAATGATGCCAAAGTCCCTGACCTCTTTCCCTGTACACGAGAGAGGTGGGGTCGTGTGTGCAGAATTTTCTGTTGCTGGGTTTGCACAATCTTATTTTCTATAGATAAGGATGGAGTGGCCATCATGGGCCTCTTCTCCCCAGACCTCCTATTCTGTTTCCCATTACAGTTGGGATTTCACAGGAGGAGTACTCATCAGCACTCATCAGTTTGCCAGGAATACAGGCTTCTGCTTGGATCAGGCACAGCCTACTCCTGAGATAAAGTGCTCTCAGCTCTGTGCCCTGAGCCTGGGCCCCAGATTGCTCCTAGATGCTGGGTGCGTGGCTGCTGCGAGAGGTTGTTTCCAGAGGAATTTGGAACTGACCAGTGATGCCACTTATAACACAACTGTCATGAATCACTCGCTTCTGTAGCTCACTATTTCATAGCCGTTTACTCTGCTAGAATGTGGACTCCAGGAAAACAGTGGTTTGTCTCTCTTCTCCACTGTGTCTCCCGAGCCTAGCACAGAGCCTTATCCGTGGTGGGCACAGGTAAACACTTGCTAAATGAAGTGAATTCACAGCCATTAGGATTCTTTTGACTCTGGAAATCAACCTTGAAATCTCCCTCAAGACTATCTGCTGAGAGTGACACTAGACTAGTCTGTATGGCCTTCTGGCCGCTCTGCATTCATGTGACCCCGTGAACGTCAGGAGATTTAATTCATCAGATGGCTGTGCTGGATTCATCTTTGTCTTCTCATTAGTCTTCCCAGCCATCATGTGGAATGGCCTTGCTTTTCTCTCTTTCCTCCTCCTCCCCTTTCTCTTCCTCTTCCTCCTCTTCGTTTTCCTCCCTTTCTTCTCCCCCTGCTCCTCTTCAGTCCCCCTCCCTCTCCATGTGCCCTGTGCTGGTCCCTCCTCTTCACTCTCCTGTCCCTTTTCGCTCTCCATCCTCCTCTTTCCCTTCTGTCTCTCCTTTTCCTCTCCTCTCATTCTCTCCTTCCCCTTTCGTTCCTCTTCCTTCCTTATCTCTTCTTTTCCCTCTCTACTTTCTCTCTCCCCGCCTTCCTCTTGTCCTCTCTCTGGCCTCCCAGCTTCCCCTGCCCTCTCCCCCTTTCTTTCACCATTTTGGGAGCATTCTTGTAAAGGCCCTTTCCTTTCCGCCATTCCCACCTGCAGATGTGCAGGTTTGCCTGAGGTCCTTACAGGGACTCTCTAGAGGCTGTTCTATGCCGACTGAATTAAACTCCACTGGCAGATGCTTCCTTAAAGGTCTCTATCATACCACTCACCCCTCAGAAACCTTCACTGGATCCTGGTTTCCTTGTCTTTGATATTAAAACCTCTTTGGAATTCATGATAGCTAGTAATCCAGTCCCATGCACCCAATCCTAATGCTTAGTAAAGCTAAAGGTCACACAGTGTGAACAGTATGAATAGCAGTCCTCATTTAATGAGGCTTTACCATGTGTCCAACACTGTCTATGTGCTTTTCGCCTAAAGGTTCTGTGTCTATTTATCCGCAGTTTATAAATGAAGTCAATGAGGCTGAACTCACCCAAGGTTACATGACTGGTTAATGTTAGAAGTTGGATTTCAACACAAGTGGTCTGATTCCAGAGACAGGGCCTTTGATAAGGAGTTCATGGTTTTAGGTTTGATGTACTTTGCTTATTACAGGAGAGAGATTTTATAAACATGCCAACACAGCACTAAATGTGGTGATGTCTTGGACAGTGCTCTACAGTGGGAAGAAAGTTATATAGTACTGTGCATATATTTTATAGTACTGTGTATATGTTTAGGCCACAGTTTCTCAGAGCAAACCCTGTATGATCTGTGTGTCACGAATTTTTACTCACTCCTTATTTTCAATACGCATAGTGAAAAGAACTTTGCATATTTATAACATGTATTTTTTTCTCTAGTATCCACATACTTTTATTTACTCAAAAAGTACTAAAGAAATACTAAATGGAAACTATTTCCAACTTAATATCAAGGAGGCTTGATCTAGAAGCAGCTAAGTTTGGCTAATTGATGGGAAACCCTGATGATACACTCTGTGTGTGTGTGTGTGTGTGTGTGTGTGTGTGCATATGTGTGCGAGTATGCCTGTTTGTGTTCATATAATGTGGGTGGAAGAGGAGGAGCAGAAAATGGACAGAGACACAAGATGAATCACGTCCGCCTCAGAGACTTGCAATATTAATAGGCTTTGACTATAGCTGGTTCTGTTTCATTGGTTGCTTTGCGTCAGCATAGCTGGATTCTCACCACAAGAAGTCATGCTTGGAAGGAAGTGTGCTGTGTTTGTACATGGCCTGATTGGACTGGGGCAGTATTCATTGCTCAGAGCCAACCACTCACATTATCATTCTTCCCAAAATGTGTGTGTCTGGCGTGAGCGCCTCTTTGACTCCTAGGAAACTTGAGCAGTTGGTGCTTGAAAGGCTCACAGAAGGCCGAAAGTGCTTATGTTCATCCTTTTATTTTCTGTCTTCTCAGTATAGAGCATTTTCAGCAACAGTTAACTGTTTTCAACTCTGTCTTTTCTTGGGGCTAGTAGGTTCACCCTAATGAGCTTCAAGGTTGTTGACATTTTCAATTAAACTCTGTTAAGTCAGCTAGACATCACTTCTTACAAAGGCTGTCAGGAGTTGTCTCCTACCCACATGTTACATTGATAATAATTATAGTAATAATTAGTTTCGTGCATATATAGCCATCTTTTCATTCGAAGTCCTTTTATTCTAGAAATCATCCAGTGGGAAGTGTCCTCTGTTGATTTGCTGTTGGAGTCCATTCCCCATATGACCACTGGGGGGCAGAAGACTAACTCTGTGGAAAGAATGTGTTTCATCTCCAGTCCTTGTGAAAGGCTAGAGCCTGCTGGGTGTGGTGGCACAGACCTGAAATTCCAGCACTCTGGGAGGATGAGGCAAGTTTGATTCTTCTTGGGCAATTTAGAGACTCAGGAAAACCTTGTCTCAAAAAAAAAAGAAAGTTGAGGGATCTACATATTCTGTATGAACTTCCTATATTTTTTGTTTCCCCAAGAGTATTCCAAGAAGTATAGCTACACAATAGCATTGTGAAATGGCTAAGAACATGGGCTTTGGGTCAGAATCCCTACATCACCACTTGTTAGCTCTCTGGCCTCGGGGAAGTTATTTTCCTGCTTTAAACTTTTAACAATACTTTAACTTCAGATCATTAGAAAAATGTGACTAAATGGCCCAGACCCAAGTGGTGTAGTTCTATAAATTATGTTGGATGTTATAGTGTAGTTGTAACTATTCCCTAGACTCAATGTCTTCCCATATGGATCACCCATTCTTTGTTGCATCTGCCCTTTGATTTCAGGAGATGTGTGGACTGAAAAACCTTCCAGGGGGTTTTCTGAAAGTCATTCAATCCTCTTCCAGGTGAAGCAGTAAGCAAGTGCCATCAGTACGCTACCACTTGGCTAGTTGCTTTGTGGTTCTCTGACCAGCAAACACAACAGCTGGCCATTCTGCTAAATAGAGGTGGGAACCAGGGACACTCCCAGAATGCACTGGGGCAATGTCAAGTGCTACAGCTACTTTCTAGGTAAATGAAACATCTGTATGCATGCAGGTGCTGGCTGTAGCTGGAAGCAGACCAGGAAATCACCTCGGAAAGGTCTTTAATAAAGAGGGTGATAAGGGGGTGGGAGTGGGTTCCTTGAGACTGTCAAGATTCTGAATCAGAATACTCAGATGCCGTAAATGCGGGACTTTCATTAGTTTGGTAGTTGTTCCTAAGAGGCATCCGGGCTTTGCAGACCTGAGGACAGGTGTTCACAATGGAAGTATGTTAGATGACTTCTGAGGAAAGGGGTTGCCTCATGGCCTCTTCTCCTTAGAAAAGCAGACATGGTGACCTACGATTACTGACTATTCACTGACCGGTTTTTTAAAATGGAGATGTCTACAGGACTTTTTCCCTCCATAAACTGTAGTGCAGATGTCAGCTTTATACTAAGTCATACCAGAGAACAAAGTCTGATTATGTCACTGTCCTGTGTACATAATGAAGTCTAGATTTTACATTCAAAATACTTTGTGACCCTACAGCCTCCCTATACTTAAAATTCAGTTTAATTATTGAACTAGTGGTGCTGGAGATTTTCAGCTTTCATGTCCTTATTCTAATCTCTTGTTCTGGCCATCTTTATGTCCATCATCTCTCGTATTCTATCAGCCTTTTTTTCCCTACTGGCCTTTTTTAAGGAATCCTTCCTGGATCTCTTTTCCCCAGCTTAGCTAGGAAAGTCTGTCCTGCCTTTAGGTGTTCACCTAGCTCTGTCTCCTGACACTTTTACATTTGTACTTTGAAGTACAGAATAGTTGTATGTTTATCGTCTCTCCTTGTTTAGTCCATAAGACCATGAAGACTGGTCTCTCATTCCTCTTTGTGTTTTCTCAGAAGTCAACCTTGGTCCTGCACAAGATAAGCACTCGAGACTTAATGTCTTGCTTCTTGATTCTTTTATATGTATAAAAGGACACTTGTGCTCCAGGTCCCAAAGTCAAGCACCAAGAGGGACACAGCTTGTGTCCCTCCAGGCCCTGTTGGAAAAGTTGGACAGGAAAGCAAACATAGCTGTATTAGGTGAGCCTACGGTAGAGATGCTTAATGGAAGGTCCTCTTCAGCAAAGTGGGAAAGACTTCTGAAAGTTAGGTCTAGAAAAATGAAGAGGCTTGGCATGGGTTCAGATCTTAACTCTCAATGTCATGGTATCTGGAGGTGAGGCTTTGAGGAGGTTGATTAGGTTTAGATGAAATCAGGAAGATGAGGTACTTCTCATGGAATGAGTATTTTTATAAAAGGGAGAGAGACCAGAGCTCATGTGGACTCAGCAAGCAGCAGGTATCTGTCTGCAAGCTGGAAGCAGGGCCTTCCCCGAACCTGACTCTGGTCTTAATAAGAACTGGGAAACACAAATTTCGGTTGCTTATAACCACTTGGTCTTCTCTACTTTGTCATGACAGCTTGAGCAGACTAAGGACGTAGTGACAGAGAGGGAGAGCACAAGTGTGTTTGAGACCCAGGGAATAGCAGGGACTAGTCCTAGAGGAGAAGGAGGAAATAACTGTTTGCAAAACCTAAGTGCTTTTAATACTGCAGAGCAGAGAGGGGAGGAGGGCAAAAGGCAGAACTGCACAGATTGTCACAAGCCAGCGGCTGCAAGGCGCCAAGGTCTGTGTTAGGGACACTGAAGCCACTCTCCTTGGAGCAAAATGGAGCCATTTGGTTAATTCTAAGGACATATTTAAAAATCACAATTTTATATTGACTACCTGGGATCTCATGGTAAGGATAAGTTTCTTTTGAACCGACAAGGATCTCAAACAAAGCAAAAACAAGATCAAAAACAAGATGTAAAGACGGGGGCACTTGAGGCAGAGTTAAAATTCCTCTCTCAAAGCTACTTTTGCCTTAAAATGTGAACACACCAGGTTCACTGTGAGATATTGTTCTCTTGGATCTTTCTGGCAGCAAGGAGCCTTGATGGGGCTCTTGAAGTGAACGGGGTTGCTTCTTGAGTAGTGCATTGAGAAAGCACAATGGCCAAGCGGGTGTGGGGGGCCCTGCTTCAGGCTTCCCCCAGTGGGTGCCTGATGAAATACATCTTGCCGTGTCCTTGAAGTGCGGAGCTGTGCAGCCCCGTGGGGTCACCTGTTCTACCCCCTGGCCAGGCAGATTATTCCTCACACTCTTGTTTCTCAGCTCTTTGTCCAGTGGCTTTATGCATCTCAAGTGATGGGGCTTCCACCTCCTCTCTTGGGAAGCCAGGCAGCACTCACACAGAGCCTGCTCCTCAGAAGGCTGCCCTGATATTCAGCCCAAGCTTTCCTTTCTGTAATTACATCCCATTCCTCTCTGCTCTACCCCGGTGCATGACCCTGAGCAATTCTTTCCCTTCATCGGTGTGCCTACACCCTTGCTCGGGGAGAGTATTTGATCCTCGGTTCTTTTTGTCATCCCGAGCTTTGCTGGTTCCTGGCTGGTGCTGCGGGATCCCTTATAAGTAGCACCTGCTGCTCCTCTGTTTAATCCTCGTGGTTTCCCAGCTTTGATTTCTGTCCAATTTGCCTATTTCTTTCAGGAGTACTGAAGGGCCCAGAATGAATCCTGGGCTTCCTCACTGTATTATTTATTCATCTTTTCTATGGAAGACCTTCTCAATGATGCTAAACCAGGTTGGGTGGAAAATAAAAATCTCTTTGAAAGACAGAGCTGATGTGAACTCCCTGCGATAGGACTCTGGGCACTTCAGAGAAAAATGAGTTTGACTTCAGGGAATAGTACCACCCCCGATCCTCTGATGTGCAGGTACCTGTGCCCATTGTACTGCGGGGGCACAGGAAGCCTGAGTGTAAACTGAAGAGGAATCAGAATGGCCCCCCCAGTCAGTCTCTCTAGACCCAGCCTGTTCCCCAAGGCCAAGCCCTCCAGGACCCTTCCAGGTCCTGTGGTCTCATCTCTCCCCGCGGCTACTTTAGTATAACTAGATAAAAATATTCTGTCCTTCCTCTGAATTACCATAGTACTTTTGCATCACTTACTTTTGTGGCACTTCCTGTTCTCTGTTTTATTCATTTACCCTTTCGGTAAACTTGTAACTGGTACCTACTCTGTTCATGATATTGGAGGGCCAAGAAAATTAAAACCACAAGACGTAGTTCTCGGCCTGTTGGAGTTTCCAGCCCCGAGGAGGAAGCAAGCCAGTACGTGGGTGTAGACAGAGCTGGAGCAGGAGCGTGCTTGGACAGCTGCGTGTGAGACTGTGCAGTAGGTGTGGCTGGTTTAGATGGTCCTTCCCATCGTGGACAGGCCTCCACATCTGTGGATGGAAATCACTCTCCTATTCATCTGGGTGTCTCTATAAAGCCTAGCATGTGCCTTCCTCATTCAAGGCACCCAGCTGATACTTCTATGGAGCACTTGTACATGTCCGGCAATGTGCTAAGCCATTTCTACATATCTCATCAAGTCTTTGCAACTTTAGGAATTATTATTTCTTCCATTTAGCAAGAGGAAAAGCAGGGCTCCAGGATATGACGTATTAACCTAAAATCCCCCCAGGTGTTAGATGGTGGAGCTGAGATACTGATTTACCCTGTGGTGTCAGTTCTTCTGTGCACTGTGAGATGGAGGGGGAAACTGAGGCAGGAAGCATGGTTCTGAAGGTGGCAAATCTAAGGGCATTGTCACCTTTCAAGTGCATTTATTGACAAAAAGCAAGGGTAGGACCTTCCAGGCCTTCTGTACTGTTAGACGCCCTGGGAACATGCACACGTACGTGTTATTACATGAGTGGTGTTATGAAGATGATGGAAAATCAAGCTTCTCATTTTTCTAAAGAAAAATATTTTGGGGATCCAGTTGCATCATGTGACTTAGCCAGTCTCTGTACAAGGACTGTAGGAGGGCGGAGGGGTCTCTGTACCCCCGAAGATGGCCATCCAGTGCAAAACTAGGTGATTGAAAGTGAAACATGAGTCGTCTGTATGTTTGGAAAACCTCTGGGTATTTGGCAGAGTTTTGGTATCGTATTAACCATATTTTCTTGTTCTGGTCATATATCCACCCCAAAGTAATTGTTCGTTACATCTATTTAAATGAATCCATGGCCACTTCTGGCGAATTTTTCACTTTCAAGGGATGACTTCCTGTGTCGAATAAATGCGTTCCAGCTGTGAACTGGTTAATTACAGTGATGGGAGATGGGATATGTGATCAATTTAAGAGCTGCTAAAAGGGAGAGGACAGTCTGCCTTTTATAAATGCCTGTTTGGGAGATGAATCTCGTTTGCCTCGTGCTTACTCTTTCTGTGTATCTGCATGTGTCTGTGAATGTGTGTGTGTGTGTGTATGCGTGTGCGTGTCAGCAAGAGCCTGCAGCAGTGGGTGTGGGGTGTCTTACCAGCTGGTCTGCCCTGGGTTCGTGTCTGCTAATCTGTGAGTGGGGCAGCGACACCTGTGCCCATGGCTCCCGGGAGGCTCCCTGGGCAGGCGAGGTGGCTGCGCTGCAGCAGGCACATTTGTATCCCGTCTCTGAGATGTGTCCTCAGTGCCTTGGTGCCCACAGGCTGTGCTCTTGGAGTTCACCTTAACTGTGCCCTTGGAGCACAGCCTCTCACCAGCTGCTGCCCAAAGACTCCCTCTGGAAAACCTCTCGCCCTTCCCTGCTCAGCCAGGGCAGGGGTGAGGGTCAGGAGCTTCCTGGACGGTGCTTGCCCACCTGAGTACCTGCACGGGGGCAGAGTGAAAGCTGGGCCCATCCTCTTACAAAGGTAAGCACTAAGGTCAGCTTTTCCTGTTTAATAGATTAAAAAATATTACCATTAACACCTTGGGTCTTGGGGCCGGCCTGCCTTGGTTATGTCCTGGTACTAACATTTTTATTTTTTAATGCATCTTGGACAAATTAACCTCTATGAATCTGTTTCCTCCATTGTAAAATAGGGATAATAGTGTCTCCCTTGTAGACTTCTTAGGAGTACAGTTATAGACTGAAAGCCTTCTTCACAGGACAGTACACAGGTTTTCACTACCTCCTTGGCAAAGACATTTAGAAAACATTGTGTCAGACACTGGACTCTGCACATTTTACGCGCACCACACTGTTTGATCTGTTTTGTTTTATATTTTGGTGCTGGGGATTGAATCCAGGGCCTTCATAGTGAGCTGTATCATCAACTCTTTATTAATTTTGAGGGGAAGTGCTTCTAAACTGCCCGTGCTGGTTTTGAGAGTGCTGCCTCAGTTTTGAGAGTGCTGGGTTTACGGCTGTGTACCACCACACCCGGGTTCCTCTGATTGCTCTTCACAGTAATCGACTAAGAACACAGAGGCTATTTGGCTAAATAACTTGCAGGGCTTCTAACTCAAGTTTGAAACCAGAACCTGCAAGTTATCCAGGTACTTGTAATTGCCTGTTACAAGCCATTGAATGGCTTATTTGAAGGATGATAAATCTTTGAACTTCAGATTTTGGAAACGGGAGAAGAAATGGGCTTGGAATTTCTTAAAATGTGATATTCTATCTCCCTTTCTCTTCCAAGTCCCCTCATAGAGTAGCATGGTGTGTAATGTACCAAGTAACTTTACGGAGGGAAGTCTGGTGACGGTGGGACTGCTGTGTGTGTGTTGCACTGTATTGCCCTCGCATTGCAGAAACTAAATGAATGAATGCATGAAGAAACCAGTGCCATCGACGACAGTCACATGGCTCTGAGTTGTGAGTCAGCTTCCACGTGCCAGTCAGGAGAGTCTGTGTCATCCTCATTACTTGATAATCACACCGCATATACCGTCTTTCACCCAGCCCAGGTACTCATGCTCATCCGCCTGTGTGCACTGAAATCTTTTGAGGGTCCACATTACAGTTTAGATCTCTTCTTTTCAATGGTGTGTCACCCAGAGCGGGAGTTTTTGTGTGACTTAATATAAGAGTAAAATATGAAAAAGAGTAAAACATGAAAAAAGAATCATTAAAACTATGACATCAGGGCCAGGAATTTAGCTCAGTGGCATAAATACCTGCCTGGCAAGCACAAAGTCATGAGTTCAATCCCCAATACCAAAAACACACAAAAAACCCCCACAAAAAAACAAAACAAACCCCCCAAACAAAAACAAAAAACAAACAACCAAAACCCAAAAAACCAAAAATTGAACTATGACATAATACAGATTTTCTTTCCATGCAGACTTATAGGAGGTGTGTGTTTTGGAAGGTCTTTGAACTCTTACAATTAAAAAAAAAACTGTATTAATGATCTGTATCTCTTGTGTTAAGTTACTTAGCTTCTCGTGACTTTGAGAAACAAAATGAGGAGCCATTGGCTCAGAGCGTTTCAGTCACTTGCCTAAAATGATAGAGCCCATGTGCAATCTGGCAAAAAATGCAAGCCCAGCTCTCTGTTCATAACTGACTCCCCTTATTTTCCTTCTCTTCTGCCTCCTCTTCCTCCTCCTTTTTGTCATGGCTTTAAAAGGTTAAGAAAAAATCAACCAATCAACAAACAAACAATCCACAAATCCTTTGATGAGTAGTTTACTCTCTGGTAGGAAAAAATCTATATTATTTTTCTGAGCATCCCCAAAGCCCACGTAAATTGGGTTGTATTAAGGGTGTGATTGGGGAATGTTAGGCAAGCAATGTATTGATCCTCTCATCTCCAGCTGACAAGGTAGCTTGTATTGTGCACCTCTTTCTGTGTCTTCATTTTAGTTATAATTATGTTATCCTTCAGAATGGTGATGCTTGCCTAGCGGGGTGAGTTTTTCAGCTGCCCTTGGTCTATCCCTCTCTTTAGCAAAGAATATTTTTGAATAGACCTTTAGAGAATCAAGCTCGGGGGAAAAAAGTTTAAGTACACATGAAACAGTCATATTTTTCAAAATTTAAATAATATCCCCCATGTATGTAATGACTATATCAGTCATGTATTCTCATGGAAATGCTTCTGCAATTCTAAAGATTCAGACGAAGGAGGCCATCACTCTGTAAAATAACTCTTCTCCCTCCACCAAAAAAAGTGTCACCAAAACTCTTCAGGAAAATACTCACCCTTGAGCATCCTGCACTGTGCTGTGAGATGATTGGCAGCTTCAAATGTTGTACCCTCTTGTATAAATCTGCAGGAAACTTCAAACAAGATGAGGCTACTACTTTGGTTGTGAAATATGGAGAGTAACTTTTATTTTTTATTTACTTATTTATTTAGTCACACTGGGGATTGAATCCAGAGCCTTCTATGCTGGGCAAGTGCTTTTACACTAAGCTACCCCCCGCCCCCCAGTCCCGAGAATAGCTTTTAAATGAGTGTCCTGGGAGTGCTGTTCTGGTCTCCTAAGGACAGTTCCCAGCATTTCAGTGTTCTTTGGCCTTCTTGTGGCTGAACAATGATGAAGTTAATAGAGGAAAAATGCAGGGACTGATTATGTTATAAATTATAGAATGGTAGAATTATAAAACCGTAGCATAACAATTCCTAATAACATCTGAGACTGTCCTCCCAGATGGGTAACTGAATTATTTTGTAATTTTAACGTAAAAAAATGAACAGTTTGGTAATGGATGAACATTAAAATTATTTTTCATCGTACCTTCCTGGGTTAACAACCATTCATACTTTTGTATCTGTCTTGTATTCTTTTTTGAATGCTCACGTAAGTAGATGCGTTGCAGTCTGTGAATGTGAGAACACGCTTTCTTTCTGTGTTATTAATCTATATAATAACTACATCAGCTATGTCTGATGTTACATTTCTAGCCCACTCCTTTGTTCTATTTTATTTATATGTATTCCTTGAGTACATATTTTGTAATGACTGAATAGTTATATCTTATGAGATGTTATTTATGTAACCCATCTACAAAGCCTGTCACTTAAGTTTTTAATTTGTCATTATAACGCTAATGCTTTGGTGAACACCGGTGGTTTCCTTAGGATAGATTACTACAGGGCCAGCGACCTCCATGGTTTGAAGCCCTTGCTGGAATCCCCAAGTGTTTTCCCATTCCCGAGAAGTTGTGCCTATCTCTGTTCCCATCTGACCCTCCCCCTCCCCATGCTCATTTCTTTGCAAACCCCCAGGCACTGAGTACTCTCATTGGGGACAGCTTCTACTGAGCTACATCTCAGTGGCTGCTACAGTTAAGGCAGAAAGAGACTAGTAGAAAAGCAGAAGTGTAAATTCTAGATAATAAACCAAAATTGGCAAAGATACCTGGTTCTTACAAAGACGCTCTTGCCTCCCACGACTCGGAGCTGCCTCACCCTTCTCAGCCTGCTAGAGCATTAGCTGCCCCGCCTGTGTACGTGCTCACACTGCATTAATGTAGCTTAGATGGGAGTGAGCTTCACACCTTGTTAGAACTTCAGAGCCTCTCTAATGTCTTTCCTCTGCCCAAACCTCTGATAAAAAGCTGGTGACCTCCTGCACTTCTAATATCAAGCATTTTGAGTGTTCTCTGAAGCTAACTGGCTGTGCCAAAATTGATTTATGCCATCGTATAGATGTTTAAATTTTCTGAGATGTTTTAGAAAATTGACTAGTACTTTTCACGGACACTGTCTTTGCAAGTGACCTGAAAAACTCCATGAGCTCCTCAAATCCAGCCTCCTTCCCCATTCCAGGGTCAAACCTGTCCAAATTGGGGATGTAGTTTTCAGTCATAGCAAGTTAGATGGGTGTCTTGGAGAAGACTTCGAACTCCTGATTTTGCTGATCTGCAGCCGTGCGGTCAGTGAGGCGTGCCGAGAGCCCTTAACTGTTATTGGAAGCATAGTGTGAAACTCGGTGGACTGCACTTGGTTTCCTTTGGCAAGACAAACAAACCCTAGAAATGGGCAGCTTTATAAGAGAATTACTTTCAAACAAACCTAGATCAAATGTGAGGCTGGTCCTGCTGCTTGCATGAAGAGTTTATTGGACACTGCATTGGCATTAATGGTGCCCCTTCAGGGGAAAACCGGACGTCATAGGAAAGTTGTAGAACTATTAAATTTATGTGAGGTTCAAAATGGGCTACTAAATGAATAACCCGAGGATCTAGAATAATCTAGTGTCTTTTCAGACTTGGTGAGATTGCAGATGCGGTCACAGATATAATATGACTTGAGGAGAAAAAGAGGAACAGGGGTGATCCATACCCTGCTCTGACCTGGACTACATTTCTTCACTCAGTTGGCCTTGTCTGTGAAATGGAGGCACTTGTCCTCTTTAGACCTCTTAGAAATGGAAAAAGCATTTTTAATTGTTAGGGTGAAGGCAGTGTAGAAATTCATAATGCGATAATTAAGTTTCTAAAGTGGGTCATACAACCATAATTGTATTTGGGAGGCTGGAGCCATTTAAAGGAGAAAACTCCCAACACGTCCCACTGTAGCTGAAGTTAAATGCTGAGCCTCTGCTGTCGAGGTGGAGCAGGGAGGTTTCCATTCCCTCTGTGTTAGCAGAGCAGCAGGATTTGCCACACAAAGGCCAGGCTCCGAGGAACGTCTGTCTTTACACCCTCATGCCATCCATCCCAACGTTCCTTGATTAGTCATTTGCATGCTCATTTTTGTTTGGTTCCTCCCTGGCAGGATCTGTTAATTACTAACCATGGGACACTTAAAACAAAAACAAAAACAAAAACAAAAACAACAACAACAAAACCTGGCTGTGCTTTGTTTGCTAAAGTTTTGTTTTAGGTCCAGTAATTTGAATTGGCAGCCAGAGGGGGGAAAAATGTAACCGATACACCTGACTAGCATTTCGTATTTCCAACACTCCAAAG